AAAGTCTTTTTTTTGTTTTTGTAAAGTGTTTTACGGCGCTTTATATCATGTATTCTGTTCACATTTTTCACAGAAGTTCCCAAAGTGGGTCCGAGACCTGTAAATTTTCTTTCACTTCCAGCGGGGACAATACTGTTGTCCTGTGAAGTTCGAAGAAATGGGCTTGCTGTCATTTTCTCTTCCTTTTCCTCTAGGATGTCGTTCATTGACTGTGCTGAAAATCTGACAGTATTATAAAAAGGGGGCAAAAGAGGTTGTGCTGGAGGTAGTCCCGAGCAACGTACTTGGAGTTGGAGAGCATAAACAGATAGGTGTTGGGAAAAGAATAGGGTATTAATATCTTTGACGATGATGCTGATAATGATGATGCTGAGGATGATGCACTTGAGGAAGACTATGTAGCGAAACATCGAACGGATTCAGTAAAACAACTTTTATACATTTTATATTTATATTTTTTGGTCTGTAAATGAAGCAAGACTCTCCCTCCTACTTTGCTTTTTAAACAATGATGATGATGATGATGATGATGATGATGATGATGATGATGATGATGATGATTCTGACGCCGACGATGATGATTCTGACAATGACTGTGGTTTCAGCGTACCCGGACCACTTCTCCATGATGCTGGTGGGCGTGGACGACCCTGAGATGCGACGGGCCAAGCTGGACTTCTGGGATGACGTCTACGGTTTCAAGATGTCCTGCATGAAGTCGTCGGTTTTGGACGAGGTCTACGTGAAGCAGGTCAAGGGCAGTGCAATCGTCACCGACCCAGCTCTCATCAAGGTACACACAACACATCTCTTTTTTCCTGTCACTTACATTGTATTTCCAAATCCTATCAAGGTACACGCACTCATGAAATTGAACATGAATTTCACTTTATTTTTTATTGTCCATACTTTGTCCATCAAAGGAAATTGTTAATTCCTCCCCTAGCCTGACTCGGCCCAGTGGCAGAAATATGCAATGATAAGTAGGTACCACAGACTGAAATTTCAAAGTCCTCTGATTTCATAGTTAACTGCACCACTTTATAGAATTTATCATTCTGAGCATTTTGATACCAAATTTATACATATAGCTTCATTTTTAACAAAGTTATGAGCATCTAAAGTTGCAGAAAAACGCTCTATTTTTTAAATTGCGAAATGTCAGCACTTTGAGATGTCATAACATTCTTAAATTTGAATGGACATTCACAAAAACTTGTAGACACACACCCATGCACATAGAGAACAAGCCCACTTTTTTCAGGGCAGTCCTATAACCAAAAGATAGAAATTTATTGACGGAAACATGGCTTTTTGACCAAAATGGGGAGAAACACAAGGGGAGGGGGAATCCCCACTCACGACCACCAGCGTATCGGCTGCGCGCCGGGCCGTGCTGACGGGAAGGAGAAAGAATTTATACGAAACTGCTCTGATGGTGCCCTGCTTGCGAGCTTATGGGTAGCGTCCGGTATTTATTTGTGTATAATGGCTGTGTTATTCTTGAAGAGGAATGAATGGGCTTTCTGCCGATATATTTCCATAGTCAGTCCGATCACTGGTTATATATAAAAACAGCATAGAAAATTTTCAATCGCAAATCTCTTCTATTCCCTGCTCAAATAAATTAGTTGTAAGGCCAGTGCAAAAAATTTTAGCTTGAAAACTTGAGTTTTTGTATTACTGAAGTCCTCCTAGGAAAGAAGCATCGAGCAACGAATTGTGACATTTTCACTTGTTTTACCATTCCCCTATTTCACAGTTGTTCATGAAGGCAGCTCTAGGTTCAATGTACAACGTTTTACCTTGTGTCAGAGAACTTCCCCCAATGTGTCCTTTGTGTGACTATGCATATGAGACTGTGGAACATCACCTTTTCCACTGTACAGCCCTAAATGACATCAG